CCCCCCCGAAACACATCCACACAGTCAAGGCCCTGGCCTCGTTCAGCTTCAGCGATGACCAGCCGCCCCTTGAGTTCCCGAGCAAGGCCATCTCGGCCGAGGTGTCCTGGTCGGATGGCTCGCGTCTGGACGCACCCGCCTTCCGCCACGAGAAGATGCAGTTCATGAGCGAGCAGCTCCAGCAGATCGCCACCCTGGTGCGTTGTGGCCGGCCTCCTACGCGCTTCCTCCCTGCCTCTCTCTCTCATATCGGTCTGAAATTTGCCCGACGCCCTGCTGACTCTGAGCTCGCCATTTGTTTGCCCTCACCCCCACCACCCTACACCTCTTCTCAACACCTCCTCTCAACACCTCCTCTCAACACCTCCACCCAACACCTCCACCCAACACCTCTTCTCAACACCTCTTCTCAACACCCCTTCTCAACACCTCTACACCCCTTCTCAACACCTCTACACCCCTTCTCAACACCTCTACACCCCTTCTCAACACCCCCCCACCATACAGGAGGAGCGCACCCGCGTCGGCGAGTCCTTCATCCACATGCTGTACGCCTACCGCGGCGTGTCCGGCGCCATTCCCCAAGTGCGCGACCATGACGAGGCCAACAAGGCGGCCCTCTACGCACACACCTACCAGGTCCTCAAGCCGCTGGTGGACAAGATGAAGGAACTCATGGCCTACATGGAGTCCTCGGTGAACACCGTTTGCAAGATCCTGGTGGTGGCCAACGAGGCGCGCAAGTCCCGCGGGTCGCCCCCCTCCGAGGAGCTGCTCCTGGCCCTGGCCCGGGTATTCAACATGTTCATCTCGCTGGACGGGCTGAAGGACATGAAGTCCTCGCTGAACAACGACTTCGCCATCTACAAGCGCGCCCTGTCCAACATGAAGAAGCAGACCAACCCCAATGAGGATGAGACGATGGAAAACCAGAAGCTCTACAACTTCCTCGGTAACAAGGACGAATTCGCGCGCGAGCTCCGCAAGACCATCAACCTGGACGGCGGCCCCGGCGCCATCGAGGACGTCCTGGCCGACTTGCTGGACAAGGCGGCCGACATCATCGAGCGGCGGACCTACATCACGGCCGACAACAAGCACACCCTGCTCAAGGCCATGGGGTTCTCGCTGTACCTGCTGGACAGCGACCAGTCGGACAAGGCCATCACCAAGAACAAGAAGGTCAAGCTCGACCGGCTGATGCGCCTGTTCAAGGCCACCCCCTACATGCCGCTGACCGGTGACATGACCCTCAGCATGCAGACCCTCCTGCTGAAGACCAGCCTGCGCGAGGTGAGCTGGGTCACCGAGAGCCCGGGCAATGAGGACAACTCCCTGCGCCGGGCGTACTCGCTGCTGCACACGCTGCCGGAGGCGCGGGCCGAATTCCGCGAGTACCTGGCCGAGCTGGGCACCTTGCGTAGTGAGTTCCGCCGGCGGCAGCGCCTCATGGGGGCGGCCGGTGGTGCTCCGGCCGACACGCTGACCCCGGTGCCGCCGCTCCTGTCCTCCCCCATGTACAATGTCCTGCTCCGGGGGTTGCAATTGCTGGGGCGCCTGACCACGGCGGTCATCGAGCAGTCGGCCTGGAAGCTGGCCCATCCGACCGACTCGTCCATCAACCCCGACTGCCCGGAGAATGCCCACGACTATGAGAAGTCCGTGCGGTACAACTACAGCTCCGCCGAGAAGACCGCCTTCGTGGAGTACCTGTCCATGGTGTACAGCCTGAAGCGCACCCTGGCCCAGGCGGAGGCTCCCTTCGGCCATGTCATCTACTCGTACATCCATGCCACCCTGCAGCGCTTCGCTCATGGGTCCCTGGCGGAGGTGATTGCCTCGGTGGCCAAGAAGAGCAAGCAGAATGTCCTCGTGTGCGTGGCCCCTCCTCCTCCCCTTGTGGTTCTGGGTTTTTTTTTTCGTCCATTTGAGCTTCACACCCTCGGGCTCATTTCCCTCTTCCTGTGTCTTGTGCTAACGTGCCTTCTGGGCTCCCCTTGACCTGCTGGTGTATGTGTGTGCGTGTGTGTGCATGTGTGTGCATGTGTGTGCGTGTGTGTGCATGTGTGTGCATGTGTGTGCATGTGTGTGCTTGTCTCCCCATGCGCCACCGGGCTCCTCGTATCTTCCCTCGCCTCCGCCTGTGCCGGCACCCACCACAGGGCCCTTGGTCACGCGTTCAATGTGATTGCCGACTCGACCGCCGCCGAGGGCACCGACATTGTGGCCCAGGTGAGCGACAAGAAGGCCAAGAAGGCCAAGAAGGCCTCCGGCTCGGGCGCCGGGATGGCCATCGAGCAGGCCTACCCCGAGCGCGCGGCCAGTGTCAGCCAGGCGCAGCTGTTCACCCTGCGTGCCCTGCTGGACTCGGTATACAATGAGAAGGCCCCGGGCATGCGCGGTGGCTTCATGAAGGACAAGGACCTGTCCAGCGAGCAGGCCGGCCTGCTGGATGCCGTCTTCCAGGAGGCGCACTTCTTCCCGGTCATGCTGTCCTTCGGGGCGTCGGTCGAGGCGGCGTCCGACCTGTCGGAGCTCTGGTACAAGGAGTTCTACCTGGGCCTGCGCAAGGAGATCCAGTTCCCGATTGAGATGTCCCTGCCATGGATCCTGACCGAGCATGTGCTCAATCCGGATGATGCCCACGCCCTCATCGAGTCGGTGCTCTACCCGCTGGAGCTGTACAATGACGCGGCCGGCCGGGCCATCCACAAGCTCCGGTCGCGCTTCCTCTTCGACGAGATCCAGGCCGAGGTGAACCTGGCCTTCGATCAGTTCATCTTCGCCCTGTCCAATGCGGTCTTCGAGCACTACAAGCAGCGCGCCTCCTCGTGCGTGTCGGGGGCCTCCCCGCTCCTTTGCCCTTTCTGTCGGCCTCTCGCTCGCCTCCCCGGTGCTGACTCTTTGCCTTCCTCCTCCCTGTCCGCGCCCGTGTGCGCGCGTACCCACATGCACATATTCATCCCGATAACCCGCGCACGCACACGCACACACGCACACACGCACACATGCACATGCTCGCAGCGTCCTCATCAACAAGGAGTACAAGCTCCTCTTCGAGGAGAACATCTCCTCCGACGGGCGCCTCGAGGTGACGGTCCTCCCCTTCGAGTCGGTCCTGCGCCAGCGGCACTTCCAGCTCCTCGGCCGGTCGGTGGACATCAGCCGGCTGGTGAGCCAGCGCATTTCGGCCAACCTGCGCCAGGCGGTGGAGGTGGCCATCCAGCGCTTCGAGGCGGCCCCGCTGCATGGCGTCCTGGAGCTGAAGGCCCTGCTGGAGCACAACCGCATGACGCACGAGCTCCTGTCGGCGGTCCTGCCGCTGGAGTCCTTCGACATGATCCTGGAGGAGGCCGACGAGGAGACCAACCTGGTGGCCTTCCACGGGCGCATCGTGTCGCATGTGGTCTACGAGCTGGTGAATGACTTCCTGCCGAACTACTGCTACAACATCATGAGCGGGCGCTTTGTCCTGGCCCGGCTGTCGATGATCGATCCGCTGAACCGGCCGTCGGCCCCGCGGCCGCTGCCGCACCTGCTCTTCGGCTCGCGCATCTTCAACAACCACTTCTCCCGGATGTTTGACCTTTACCGGGAGTACTTCGGCGAGGTGCACTTCAATGCCCTGTACACGCTGCTGGGCCGGGCCTACTTCCCGGTCATTCTCGGCGAGCTGGTGAACAATGCGCGCACCCTCTTCGAGCATTCGCTGCGCCCCTTCGTGTCGGCCCTCATGCGCGGCATGCCGCAGTCGTCCAAGCTGCCGGCCTTCGTGTACGGTGTCACCGGGTCCTATGAGTACTTCTTCGAGCTGCTGCGCCCGGTCATCACGTATGGCGCCCTGCGGACCGAGGTGTTCCAGGTGTTCCGGGAGATCGGCAACACCATCATCGTGCTGCAGCTGCTGGACCGGGCGTCCTTCGTTGGGCAGCCGCTGGCCACCATGCTGACGGCGCCCTTCTTGGGGATCCGGGCCCCGGGGCCGAAGCCGAGCCCGGCCGGGGCGGCCGGCCCGGCCGGGGGGGCGGTCGATGCCCCGCCCCCGGAGAGCCCCACCGGCTCGGTGGCCGACGGGCGCTATGTGGTGGCCGATGTGCTGGCGGCCAATGGCGAGCTCCTGGCTTCCTCCGGCACCGTGGTGGACTTCGCCACCCTGGGCCGGCATGTGGAGGCTCTGACCAAGGCCCAGCTTGGCGGCGGCCGGTCCCTGCTGGGCAGCTTCCTGGCCAGCCTCAGCGAGGCCCTGGATTCCACCCGCAGCGAGTGGCTCGGTGCCACCCCCTCGAATGACGTGCTCGAGGTGGACATGAGCAAGGAGTACTATCGGATTTGGTCGGCCTGCCAGTTCACCTTCTGCACGCCGCCCATCACGGCGTCCGGCTCGACGACCCGGTGCGTGTCCCCTTTCGCCCCTTCTTCCTCCTCCTCCTGCGCTCCTCCTGCTCTTCGCCTTGCCGCTGATCCTGGCGAGTGTCCTTCTTTCTCTGACCCCTCTCCTGGTTTTTTCTCTCTCCCTCTCTCTCTCCCTCTGTGTGTGTGTGTGTGTGTGCGTTGCTACCATGCAATGGGTATGCGCAGTGAGAGCTTCGGCGAGGGCCTGCAGTTTGGCGGTCTGGTCTTCATCTACCTGCTGGGCCAGCAGCACCGTTTCGATGTGTTCGACTTCTCGTACCACCTGATCCAGGTGGCCGGCAATGAGACCCAGCTCGGCCGTGCCGGTGGTGTGGACCTTGGCCGCTTTGTGGACCTGGCCCGGTTCTGCCGGCTGCTGAATGACGAGATCTTCCGTGTGTTCCGCGCGCACATGCCCCTGCCGGCCTTCGAGCCGGCCCTCAGCATCGGCCAGCTGCCCCTCAAGAAGCCCGCCTTCGTGGGCCGGTTCTCGCCTCCGGGGCCGGATTCGGCCGACGGCAGCGGCACCTATCACCCCTTCGCCGGGGTGCACGGCGATGGCGAGCGCATTGGCAACCTCAAGGCCATCGCCGTCACCGAGGGTGCTGGCGCGCCCGCGCCTGCTGCCTCCGAGTGAGGGCCCGGGCGGGACCCCCTCTCCCTGCCCGGGGGAGGGGAGCGCCTTTCCGGTCTTCCTTTCCTCCCTCGCACTCCCTCCCCCCGGGCAGGGAGGAAGGAGGGCAGCAAGCCCTGGCGTTGTTGGTGCACTGCGTGCCGCTGCCCGTTTGCGCCTCCTCCGACGCCAGTGTCCCGTTGAGAGGAGGGGCCAAGGCGTGCACCCACCATCCCCCCTTCCCCTGCCTCCGTTTGCTTTCCCTCCCTCTCTCTCTCTCTCTCTCTCCTTCTCTCTCCCTCTCTCTCCCTCTCTCTCCCTCTCTCTCGAGAGAGGGGGGCGCCTCCCTCCTTTTTTTCCCTCTGCCCCGGGGCATGCGCGTGAGGCGCATTATCCAAGCACCGATTTTCCCTCCGCCCCTTCCCAACCCTTTTGTCACCGAAATATATGTCTCTCAGAAAGAAACGCCGTGGACCTGCCGACCGCCGGGGGGCGGGACTCGCCCCCAGCCTGTGCGTGTGCCTCCGCCTTCTGCGGGGTTTTTTCTTTCACATGCGCTCAAAGATGTGTGCTACGTGTGCCTTATTGGGATGTGCGCGCGGCACAGGTGCATTGTGGCGCTTGTTTGTTTTGTTTTTTTTTCCGCCTGGGCAGCACGCTGGCCCCCGGGGTGATGTGGGCACCCTTCTGTAAGGGAGAGGGTGGCTTGCTCGGCGGGCCGGCCGTTTGCGCCGGGAAAAGGCAGGAGGTGCCCGGCCCGAAGGCGGCCGGCGCGGGGAGACTGCCCCCCCCGCGCGGGCATGCTTCCGGCTCACCGCCGCCCCGGGAGGGAGGCCGGCTGAGCCGGCACGCGCAGCGACGACACAGCAGCCGTCAGCACCCGGATAATGCACTGGAAGGAGTCCAGCACCCCGAGAAGCAGGTGGTTGGCAAAGAAAACCACCAGCCGCATGGACGTCACGCAGGCATTGATGAAGTGCGGCCACAGGAGGAGGAAGATCTCGCCGGACAGGAAGTTGATTGACCGGAGCTCGGCCAGCAGCTCGGCAAAGAGGCCGCCATCCGGCGGGCCGTGCGTGCTCACCGTCCGATATGCCGCCAGCAGGGTGCTGGCCACGCCGACACAGCCGACCATCAGCACCAGCGCCCCGGCGTACAGCAGGACAAGCGGCACCAGCCAGAGCTGCCCGCGCGCGCGCGTGCGCGCAGAGCCCGGGCAAGGGAGGGGGGGCGGGGTATGGGGCAAGCGCATTAGTCAGGGGGATCGCAGGGGAGCAGGGGCCGGGGCCACGTCAGCGGGTGCGCACCAGCTGCGAGAAGACATAGGCACAGAAGGTGGTCGAGAAGATGGAAGTGCCGATCAGGATGAAGACCAGCGTGACAGCCAGCGACAGTCGGCGAATGGCGTTGCCAGCCATCTCGGACATCGAGCCGGACACCACCTGCGCGAGGAGCGCCGACGTGCGTTCCAGCACCGAGGGCTTTCCCCCGGGCGGGGGTGTGTGTGTGGTCATTTGGCACGACAGGGAGCCGGGAAGAGGTGGCAGGGGAGCGAGGGAGGGAGAGGAAGCCCGACGGCGAGCGCCAGGGCAGGGGGGGGCGGGGGAGTCTGGGGGGGGGGGGGGGAGGTTCGGAGCACGGGCATAGGGGCCGATCGTGCCCCGGCCGTGCGCATGCCGGGCCGGAAGAAAAACCACCTCCCAGCGCGGGTCGGGCGTCCCCCCCCCCCGAACGCGACGGGCGGGCCTTGCCCTGCGTCCGTTGGCTGCTTGCATGTGCCGCCGGTCGGGCGGCCGGCGATCCTCCAAGCTGTGGCCCCCGGATCCCGGTTCCCGGGCCCGGCCAACTTGGGCGTGCCTGCCCGACGCGCCCAGCACTAGAGGGGCGCCGTCGGAGCCGTATCCACCGCTGAAGAGGGCCCGGGGGCCGGGGGGTCGGCCGGCCGGGCTGCGAGCACCCCCCTCCTCTCGACCTCCCGTCCCTCTCGTTGCCTTCCTTCGCCGCTCCCCTGCCTGCGCCGGGCCCCTGCCCCCCCCCCCCCGATCTACCCCTCTCTCTCTCTGGCGCCCTCCTCGCGCCACCCATCTGCCCATGTCCCAGGGCAATCCCACTCCCCCGGCGGACTTCCCGCCGGCCACGACGCCGGCCGTCGGGGCTGGGGCCTCGGCTGCCCCGGCCTCCAGCAGCGGGCTATCTTTCCGCGCGCTCTCGCAGTTTGTTTCGTCGGTCAGCCGGTGCGCCGGGCCTTCGCCTCCCTCTTTCCTGCTGCTGCAGCCCGGACTCACCTCCTCCCCCTGCCCCCTTTTCTGTTGTTGGCTAGCTCTGTGGCCGTGGGTGCCGCGGCTGGCGCGGCCGTGCCGCCGCCGTCACAGCCAGCCGCTGCCACCCCGCCGGCGCCCGGCACCGCGCCCGGCACCGCCCCGGCACCGGTCGGCGCCAACACCCCGCCGGCCGACTCGGACTTCCTCTCCTGGGGCAGCTTCGCCAAGCAGCGGTACCGACCTCCCTATGCGCATTTCCCGGCCGCCACACCTCGGAGGCCGCATCTGCCGCCGCGACCCTCTTCCCTTTTCCTTTTGATGGTCTGACCTCCTTGCCCGCCGTGCCTTCAGGTTGCGCAGCATTGTCGCCGGTGTCGACAGCTTCGTGGTCACCTTGGCATCTGACCCGATCAAGAGGTACCGTCAATGGCGCGGCCGCTCCGCCCCCGGGGCCATGCGCCGCGGCCTGCCCCCACTCTCTGCCTTCAGCTGACCCCGTCGCATTGTCCCCGTCTGCCCCCCTGCCCCGGGCTCCTGGGGCGCCTGTCGTCGGCCATCGCGCGGCCGCCCGTAGCAAGCCCGTCCGTCCGGAGATCGACTTGGCCGCCGGCCATCGCATTCTCGATCACTATGAGGCAGTTTGGGAGATCCTGATGCGGGCGAACCTGGACATCGAGACCAAGCTGAAGCAATGCACGCAGCTGTCGCACCAGGCGCGCAGCCTGGTGGCCGACCACAATGCCGGCATCGAGCACTTGGCTCGCGTGGCCGAGACCAGCGTGCCTCTCATCCAGAAGGCCCTCAATGAGTGTGCCAGCTCGGTCGGTGCGTTTTTGGTGCCTTCTCTTTTTTTGTCCCCTCCTTGCTGGGGGGGGAGGGGGGGGGACATCCCACGTCACACTTTCCCCTTGGGTCGTGCTCACACGGTTCATCCCCGGGCGATCGGACAGAGGCCATTGCCGGGCAGGTGTTCTTCCTGGAGGAGGAGCTGAACCAGCTGGAGGAAATGAAGGCCGACTTCGCCCTGCACAGCTGGATTGCCAAACGCTCGGAGGAGTGGGAGCTCAACGAAATCCGCATCCTGCGCCAGGAGCGCTCCCGCATTGTGGCCACCCACGAGTCGGCGACCGGGTCCCTGCCCAAGTCCGGCACCCTGCCGTCGGGTGTCACCCAGTTGTCCAGGGCAGCGCCGGCCGTCGGGACGCCGGCCCCGGCCGGTGGCCCTGGTGTTGGCGCCGCCGCCGCCGCGCACGAGCCACCCTCCACTGGGCCTGCCACTTCCGACGGGTCTGCCCCTTCTGGCGGGGTCGCCGCTCGCGCTGAGTCTGTCGCCTCTACTGAGGTCATCATTTCGGGTGAGTCTGCGGTCTCCGATGACGGTGGGCCCCCGGTTGAGGGCTCGGCCGTTCCGGTGGACCACTCCCCGACTTCGGCCGACAAGCCGGCCGTCTTGCCCGAGGATCCCGATGTCGCCACCGAGGATCCCGATGTCGCCACCGAGGAGCCGGCCGCCCCCTCTGAGCCAACTGCTGAGGGTGATTCACCGATCGACGAGGCGTCGAGCGGGGCCTCCCCATAATGGTCCTGCCACCGAATGCACACCTGAATACTTGTTTCCCGTGGGGCAAACACCGGGTTTGCGCGGCTCCCATCCCCCCCCCCTTCAACGTCTGTGGAAGGGGGCATCCACAAGTGCACGCACAGACACACGCGAGGCTAGGGAGGAACATTTATTTTCACAAGGACAGGGACCAAAGGAGGGAGGGGGGTGGCGAGGCCAGGGACAGACTATTTCCCCTTCTTCTTGACGACGCCAACAACAATGGCCGCGATGATGGCCAGCACAACTAGCACAATCAGAACCAGCACCAGGCGGTCCGTGGCCAGGCGGCTGCGTGCATGGGCGCGTGGGTGTGGAGGGGAGACCACAGATGGGCCGAGGTTCATGGGTGTCAGCCAATTGACAAGGAGGGGGGGGGGGAAGGGGACATGAGACACATGTGCACGAAACTACGCACCGGATCAAGATGCGGAGCTGCTTCTCGGCGGTGCGGGCATTGGAGTCGACCTGCTCGATGCCCTGGTGGATCCGCTCAATCTGGTCCGTCTGCTCGTGCAGGGTCTTCGTGGTGTCCGAGGCAACCTGTCGGTTGGAGGGAAGGGGCGAGACAAGGGGGGTGACCAGGCGTCCGATGGGTGAGCGGCTTGGAACGAGCGGAATTGGCAGGAACAGACGGAAGGGGGGGGGGGGAGAGAGGGGCATACCTTGATCGTTTCGTCGATGATGGCCAGACTCCGGCCGGTGGACGCCTTGGACTCGAGCTGGATGGTTTCGGCGGCCTGGATGATCTGGCGATTGGTCATGCCAACCGGCGCTGCGCATGGACGCCATGCAGAGGGACATGCAGGGCCGTGTCAGCATGCAGGTGCGAGGCAGCCAGAAGACGGCCCCCGGCCCTGGGGGCGAAGGCCAAGGAACAAAGGGGCGAATGGGGGGGGGGGGGGGGCACAACGCGGCAGGGCAAAGGAGGGCAAGCAAAGGAGGGTATACGCACCGCCACTGGCGTCGACCTGCTCCTCGGATTGGAAAATCTGCCGAAGCTCATTCAGTCGGCTATCTAGCGAGGTGTGCTTCTCCTCGTAGCCGCGGTAGGCCTGCGCACAGGCCGTGGAGCAGGGGAGAGGAGGAAATGCGTGAGGAGGGCCGGCGCACACGGGCAGGGCAGGCGAGAGCAGGCCTCGACCGAGGTCATGGCCGCGGCACAGGACGCACCACATTGAAGGGATGGGCCTCGAGAGGGCTCAGCAGGGAAAGCTCGATCTGATAGGACTCCAGCAGGTGCTGAGCTCGCCTCATGCGCCCGAGCAGGTAGTCGATTTTCTGGATCCACGCAGGGGTCAGCAAGGGGGTGTGCCCTGGTCCGCCGGGGGGGGGTGGGGGGGGGGGGGGGGGGGGGGGGCAGAAGCGCAGGGGGCCTGGCGTACCTCGACACGAGCGCGCCCCTGCAGCGAGGTGATGTCTCGTTGAATGGAGGTCTCGACGCGATAGAAGAGCTCGTCGATCTGCTCGCCGTAATCCTTGATGTCCCGCAGATCTGCGCAGGGGCCATGGGCGCCGCGATATGGCCGAGGAAAGGAGAGTGAGTGTCTGTGCGGGGGAGAGTCATATCCCACGGGGGGGGGGGGGCATCATACGCACGGCTCATGGTGACAGTGGTGTGGTGCTACACAGCACACGGGGGACCTCTCGTCACGGGGATGGGGGCGCGGAGGCCGGGAGAAAAGAGGGCCTGGGCGGGGTGGGCGGGGGAGGGGGAGCGGAGGGGGAGGGGGAGCGGAGGGGGAGGGGGAGGGGGAGGGAGAGATGGGGAGGCGAGGGCGCCGGAAGAGGTGCAGGAGCCGGGAGAGCGGAGGGGGGCAGTACATGCCGGCTTGGGGCCGGGCCGGGGCAGGCGGGGCGCCCTTGAGAGAGCCGGCGCGCTGGGCCGCAAGGCGGCGGGGGGGGGGGGGGATGCCAGCCCGGAGAGAAGCCCAGGGCGAGGCTCCATTCCCAGGGCGGTCAATCAGGCCCCCGACCCCTTCTCTCGTCTTGGCTTGGAACGGAACTGGGCCCGGCCGGGCCGATGCCTTGGCGCGCGCTCACGCCCGGCGGCCGGCATTCCGCCCCTGGCTGTCTGCCGCGCAGGGAGAATGCCCCGGGGCCCCCCCCAACGGCCGCACTCTGCCCCCCCCCCCCCCCCCCCCCCCCCCCCCTGGCGGCCGGCCAGCAAGAGAAGCAGCGGCCGCCGGGGGAAGCGCGAAGCATGCCCGCCGTGCGCCGGGCGCGCGTCGAGCCCCCAGCCCTCTCCGGTCGAGCGTGTGTGTGTGTGTGTGTCCGCTGGCGGCCGGGAAGAAGATGCACTCCGCCCGGGGGGGGGGGGAGGGGGCGGTCCAACCGGAGCAAGTGCCATTTACGCGACATTTGCGTAAAATCAAAACATGATGTGCTCGTGATCGCCTGCCGCACATGTGCGGCGGCACCTGGCCCCTTCTCGGAGTAACCGCTGGGGGCAATCGCCGCAGGCCCCTGTGCCGCGCTGGGCGCTGCCCGGAGGAGGGGACGCGCTCACCCGCCGGCCCCGGGTGCCGGCGCGCAAGCGACTAGCCCCGGTGTTCCCCGGCAGGACACCGGCGGGCGCGTGCATGGCCTTCGCTCCCTGACGCGCGGGGCCTCCCGGCCTCGAGCAATCAAAGCAGGGCGCGGCGGCCGGCCAGCCATCCACTCGGCCAGCCATCCTCTCCATTCTCTCCCCCTGCCTCCCCTTCTACACGCCCTCTCTTTCCCTCCTCCCCCCTCCCCCTCACACACATACACATACACATCATCTCGCTCTCGCCTCGCCGCTCGTTGTCTCTTCCGTCCCCCGCTGCCAGCATGGATCCCTCGCGGTGCGTGCTTGTCCCCGTTCCCACCGGCGCCCATTTCATGCCATTCCAGGCAGATGCCCTGACCCTGCTTCGCCAGTCCTCCGTCAGGCCAGCCACCTCCGCCGGGCTCTGCCGCCGGGCCGGCCGGCTCACAGGGTGCGTACTCGCGGCCGGCAGCCCGATGGGGCCCGGCTGTGGCCTCCTCTTGACCCCGGCATGTCCCCTCCTCACCTCGCACTCCCCCTGCTCCCGCTCCTTCCCCCCTGGGCCTGCGCAGCCGCGAAAACCGACGCCGAGAAGAAGGTCGACAACTTGGATCTGCCCGCGTCGGCGTATGTGGGCGTTGACAGTGATGTGCGTGCGCACGCATGCACACCCATACAGGCCGGATCCTGCCCCGCCACCCTGTCCATGACAGACCCCCGGCTGACCCCCCTCACCCCCCCCCCCCCCCTGGCCCTTCTCTTTTGCATCGGGCCCCAGGATGAGCATGAGCGCATGGTCAGCGAAGTGCGCATCGTCTTCGCCCCTTCGACCGTGGCCGAGTACCAGGAGGAGTTCCTGAACCAGGTCATCGACTTCGAGACCATCAAGGATTACATCATGCCGATCGCCGAGAAGCACCGGCTCACCGGCATCACTCGCGAGGTGATCACCATCCTGCGCCGGGCGTTGGAATTCCGCCTGCGGAACCTTTGCTCGGACTTGGTCATCGCCTGCCGGGTGCGTGGCACTGCTCAGGGCCGCTTTTCTTCCCGCCCCTTCGCCTGCCTGTACCCCCGTGTTCGGCACTGACCAGCCTGTCTGTGTGGCTCTGGGGCCATTCGCGCGCCATGCCTGTGGCGGCCGGCCCTCGCAGCACCGGCAAGATGTCATGCTGATGCATCCCAACTCCTCGGCCCGGGAAATCAGCCAGCCCCGGCGGCAGCTCCACCTGCTGGAGCGCTACACGAAGCCGAGCTTTTTCTCGTCCACACACACGGCGGACACCGGGTCGGATGCCGGGCCGGCGGCCGCCGGCGACGTAGAGGCCACCACCGCCCCGGCGACCACGGCCGGCGGGAGTACGCCGGGCGCCGGCTCGGCCGGCGGGACCGCCGCCAGCGGCGAGGCCTCGACCGGCGGGGCGACCGGGACCCCGGCCGCGGCCGGGCCCACCCCGGCTGGGAGCCCCTCCGGGCCCGGGGCCCCGGGGTCCGGGCCGGGTGCGGCGACCACGGGCCCGGCCGCCGCCTCGACTGCCACCGGGTCACCGGCTTCGGCCCCGGCCCCGGCCCCGGCCGCAGCCTCGACGGCCGGGGCCCCGGGCGGCAGCGCCACCCTGCGCAAATTCCTCGGCGGGTCACAGGGCGTCTTCGGGAAGTCGCGCCTGGGGGCACGGCTGGCCGCGGCGGCGGCCCGGCGGACGGATGCCGCCGGCGGTGGCGGCCCGGCCGCCAGCGGCTCGAGCGGCGCCGCCCCGGTCGGCGGCCTGACCAATCTGGAGGGGCGCATCAATTGGACGGTCACCTCGCGGGACATGGTCTTCGTGTTGGAGCGCGATCGCATTGGCCGGCGGTCGGACCTGCTGCTGCGGCTATTGGCGCACTTGAACCACTCCTCCGGGGGCACGGGGCCAAGTGGGCCCGGGCTTGGGGCCTCGACCGGCGGGCCAGGCGCCTCGGCCGGGCTCGGGCCCTCGGCATCGGGCCAGGCGGCGCCTCGGCCGGAGGCTGCCCTGCCCCCGGCCAAGCGGAGAAAGTAGAAGCGCCCCTCCCCCCCCCCCCCCGCTGCCGGGCGGAGACACATGCCCCCGCCGCCCCCCCCTCTCGCTCCCCCTCCGCCGGATGAAGCACACGCGAGTCCGGCGGCTTTCGCATACGTTCGCGTGTGATATATATATATATACATGTTTGATGCTCATGGAGGGCTCCCCCATGCCGGCATGCCAAGTGGCAGGGCGCCGTGCGGCACACAAAAAATAAGCCACCGATAGGGGGGGGGGGGAGAGGAGCGTATGGCGGAGACATGGACGGGGACAGGCATCGGCCGGGGGCGGCTCAAAGGCCGGGTCGCGCGAGCCGCAGGTCCTGGAGACGGGCGGCCAGGGCGGCCGACGCGCGGGCCACCCGCCGAGCGACCAGCACTTCGAGCGGGGAGGCATCCGGGCCCGGGGGGCTGGCCGGCGGTGTGTCGGCGGCCAGCACCAGCAGCTGCCCCGAGGGGGCCGGCGTGCCGATCCCCGACGGTGGTCGGCCATTGAGCCAGGCCAGGGCGTGTCCCAGGTCGCCAATGATCCGGCCCAGGAGCAGGGCTCCCTGGCGGCCGGCGAGGCCCGGCGCCGGGGCGGGGACGGACCCGGCCAGTAGCGGACCGAGCAGGAGCTCCCCCGGGGAGGGGCCCGGCCGGCCGGCCGGCCGGCCAGCCAGCAGGAGCTCCACCAGAAGTGAGTGTGCCGGGCGCCGGGCCTCGGCCGGGCAGACGCCTGCATGGCGGCCCAGCGCCGCCAACACCGCCAGCGGTGAGGTCAAGTAGCGCAGGGCCCACCGCGGGTCCTCCGGATCGGCGACCGGCCCGGGCTCCAGGAGCATGTGCATGTCCAGCAGCAGGCCGATGGCGCGGTTGAGGCGGTCATCGTCCAGGGCGCAGCTCAGCAGCCGCAGGTCGAAGGGCATGGCCGACCGGAGGACGGGCCCCTCGGACGGCCGGCCGGCGACCAGGCGCAGCGCAAGGCACGCAGCGGCCCGGGCATCGGGCCCGGCGGCGGCCCGGCGCACGGCCATCCGCGCGCTGGTCCAGCTGAGCTCCACAAAGCTGGCCAGCAGGGGCAGCCGGTCCCCCGGGTCGAGCAGGCGACACAGTGGCCACCGGGCCCAGGGCGCCGCGATCGGGTAGGCCGGGGCCGCCGGGTCGGCCGGCCACACGCCGGTGTCCGACAGCAGGAGCCCCCCCGGCGTCAAGGGGGCCGCCGAGGACCACCGGCCCGGGGCCTGGAAGACCGAGCTCTCGGCAGCCAGGGTGTGCAGCGCCTCCAGGGCTGCCGGACCGGGGCCGGCCTCCGCGCGCTCATGGCACAGCAGCATCAGCTGCAGCACCGCGGTCAGCGAGGCGGAGGGGGCCCTCGGGCCGGGCTCGAGGTCGAGCTGCCGCTCGCCGAACGCCCGCGCCAGGACACCCTGCGCATGGCGGTGTATCGGGGCCAGCTGCGTGTCCGGTGGCCCGAGCAGTGGGGCAGGGTGCAGGAGGTGTCAGGACACCCCCGGGTGGCGGCCACTCAGAGGGGGCCAAGAGGCGAGGTGCGGCGGGGCAGGCGGGCAGGCGGGCAGGCGGACAGGCGGGCAGGCGGGCAAGCGAGCAAGAGCAGGACCGGCCCGCCCTCCCCGGGAGGGAGAGGGAGGGAGGGGGGGGGGGCACGCACCTGTGTCAGCACGGCGGAAAAGACATCCGCCGGGGTGGTGGCCGGCAGTGCACGGACCAGGCGCCGCGCGCACTTGGCCAGCTGGGTCGCGGGGAATGTGGCAAGAGCGGCGGCCCCGGGATGGGTGGCTGCCAGCCGGTGGCGGATTTCCCGGGCCAGCAGCAGGCCCAGCAGGCCCAGCATGGGCACGCCGGGGAGACCCCGGGGCGGTAGGGCGCCTCGAAGGGTGGCCAGCTCGCGGAGGCTGGCCGGACAGTGGAGCAGGGCCAGCGCCTCGAGCACCAGCCTGCTGGCCAGCTTGGCCACCACGGCCAGGAAGTGGCATGCTATGCCGAGGCGCCGGCCGGCCGGGGGCCCCCGCCGGTGGGCCCGGCCCTGGCGCAGTGCCGGTAGTTGTGCCGGGCAGGCGCCGGCCGTGCGCAGGGCCCACCGGAGGAAGGGCCCGAAGCCGGGCGGCAGATCGCCCAGTCGAGCACCTTCAGCCCCGGGACACGCCCTCAGGGCGGCCAGGAGCCCGGCCGCGCGGGCCGCCAGGCGGAATTCCCCGCCGGCACGCGAGCAGACGACACGCATGTCGGCCGGGCCTCGCCAGGCGGAGGGCATCAGCATGTCCGACCGGGGGACCAGGCCGCCGAGGGCGGACAGAGGAGGGCCAAGACGAGCCGGCGCTGGGGGGGGGGGG